ATCCCTATGAATCTTAATGATAATGACATAAAAAGCCTCACCCATATCCTTCATGCTAAAATATTGAGAGAGAAATTATTTCACCTTGTGCAGCAAACCCAAATCATTGGTTACAAGGATTTTGCTCCCACTAACCTTGTGGTATATACACTGATCCATAACATTCTCTAAAAAACCAAACGAAGAGATAACTGTGTGAAATCTTAAATACCACTGCCGGGAGGCTTGTTTAAGTCCATAAATGGACATTTTAAGCTTGCAAAGAAAGTGCTCACCATCACTTGAAATGAACCCATGAGGTTGTTTCATATAAACCTTTTCCTCCAAATCTCCATTGGGGAAAGATGTTTTCACATCCATTTGATTTAAATCTAAATTGAAATGGACAACTAATGCCATGATGATTGATAAACCAATATTTGTCCTAGTATTTTTTTATGTTTTGTTGTTATTTGTGTGTTTTAACTTAAGAATATGTTACTTTGATGTGGTTTTTACTATTTTGAAGGTACATGAGCTTTTGGAATGTATTTGGAAAAAATCGTGCAAAACGGGTCGAGAATTGAAGTTGAAAAGGGAAGAAAAATGCGAAGCAACTAGATGGTGCCTAATAATCCTAGGATTATATAGTATATTCTATACTTTTTGGTAGGATTTTGGATACTTCTTATAGAGGTTTGTGCCTGATTTGTAACTTAAATTCGCATATTTTACGTTTCAAGCCAAAACATGCAGTTGGAGCAAAACCGAGCGAAATTGAGTTTCTAGACCTGGAATCAAGAATCGGGCAATTCTGATGCGGAGTGGAAGCACTATGAAGCTTGTTCCTATCGGGGATCACGAAGATCAAAGATTCAAGTGAAGAAGCAAGTGGAGGGCAGTTTCATAATTTCATAAAAGACCAACAAAGTTTGTCGTGGCGAAGATAATTCTCTACTGCGGCAAGCTAGCCTCGGGTCAGATGGTTTAGCAAGATTTCAACTTGATGTCGCGGCGAAGTTTATTATTCGCTGCGGTGAAAACTACAATTCTTTTGTTTATAAAACGTTGCGTTTTAATTGTCTTACATTAGAATCTTAGGGTTTTGGCCAACTATTTAAGAGAGCCTTAGCTCATTTTGTTAGGGAGTTCGGATTTTGAGAGAAGAAAAGGAAGAAATTGGAGATTAGAGCATTTTGGGTCTTCATTTAGGGAAGATTTCATTCTTTTCTACTGTTTTAGCATGTTGAACTTTTTACTTACAGTTTGTTTTACGAATTTATTTAATTTGAATATGAACTAACCAACTTTTGGGATAGGGTTTTGACCTAACTTTGATTACAATGGTTTAATCTTTAATAGATGTTCTTTTCAAGTTCTATTGCTTAGATTTTGTATTTATTCTTGTTCTTAATGCAATTGAATGTTGAGTTTTCTTTGTTTCAATTAATTGTTGAGCATGATGAGACTGAGAAGTGATTCATGTATTAGCCTCTTAGAGTAAATACTATAGATTAATGAATGCTAGAGATAGGTTCGGAGATCTATGAAATCACTTTAGGATCCCTTTTGGCTTAATAGACTTAGAACTGTTAATCTTTATTTTGTTGGGTGCAGAAGCTTAATAGGGATAAGTAGGAGAATATAGTCTGAGAAGGTATATTCTGCAGATTAAGGTATCTGATTTATAATCCTTGCATGTGAGTTTAAAGGCAACATCAACCGTAGATTGAATCAAAGTAATTTAGTGGAGTCGAAACCCTAACCTCTTGTCTTGAATTGATATTTTTGTGATTAGTTGATATTTTCTTAATTAGTTAGATTTTAATTTACGTTATTGATTTTGTGTTAATTTCTGTTTTTGTCTCCTGCAAATCCAACAATCTTTGTGTCCTTCAACCAATTACAAAACTAGGAAAATTAATACTTAACACGCAATCCTCGTGGGAATGATACTCTTCTCATCATTTTATTATTTTTTGTAACTAGTGCACTTGCTACACATTGCATGTTGTAAAATCAATGCATCAAGTTTTTGGCGCCATTGCCGAGGATTGATTTAGTGTTAATATTGAAGTTTTCTAGTTTTCACTAGATTGGAGTTTTATTTTTGTTTTAATTAGTTTTAGTTTAATTTTGTGTTTCTTTTCATTCACTTCGATCTTGTGTAGTTTATGCGAAGAGTAAGACAACATCCTGTGGTTCCCATTGATCCATAGATTGAAAGAACTGCAAGAAGACTTATTAGAGAGAGAAGAGAACGAAATGCAATAATCATTGAAATGGCTGAAAACAGAACTTTGAGGGAATTCTCAGTACCCTCGGTTGATGGTAGTGGTCCAAGTATCACTAGACCACCGGTGCAAACCAACAATTTTGAAATAACATCAGCAATCATCCAAATGATCCAACAGTCGGTACAATTTGGGGGAGATGCAAAGGAAGATCCAAATTCACACATTGCAAACTTATTAGAGATATGCGACATATTTAAGGCAAATGGAGTGTCAGATGATGCCATCGGGTTAAGATTATTCCCCTTTTCAATGAGAGATAAAGCAAAGGGATGGTTAATGGCACTACCAACAGGAACAATCACCACTTGGAATGAATTGGCACAACGGTTCCTGACTAAATACTTCCCTCCAGCGAAATTTGCAAGGATCAGAAATGATATCACATCATTTCTGCAGGAAGGGAATGAGTCACTTTATGAAGCATGGGAGAGATATAAAGAATTGTTGAGAAAGTGTCCACACCAAGGTTTGCCTGTTTGGATGCAAGTCTAAACCTTCTATAATGGGTTGTTGACAAATGTGCAAACAATGGTGGATGTAGCATCTAGAGGAGCATAGCAAAACAAGACACCGGAAGAAGCTTATGAGTTACTTGAAGTCCTGGTAAGTAACAACTATCAGAGACCCAATGAAAGAATTCAACTGAAGAAGTCTATGGGTATTCATGAAGTTGATGGTTACACAGCCATTTCAGCCCAATGGCAATATCGAGCAATACAAGCCTCAACTTGTTGCCAAAGGTTTTACTAAAATAGGTGATATTGACTATAAGGAGACTTTTTCACCAATCTTTCAGAGATACTCTCTTAGAATTATTATGGATTTGGTGACTTATTATGACCTAGAGTTACACCAAGTGGATGTGAAAATTGTCTTTCTAAATGGGAATTTAGAGGCAAAGGTTTATATGGATCAACCTGAGGGTTTTTCCATTGAAGGAAAAGAACACATGGTGTGTAAACTCAAATCAGTAGACAAGCTTCCCACCAATAGTAAAGTTCTTGAGAGATTTAGAATGGAAAGAGGCTCATCAAGTGTTGTTCCAATTCGAAATGGAGATAAATTTAGCCTTATGCAATGTCAAAAGAATCAATCAGAATGCAAACAAGTGAAAAGAATTCCTTAAGCATCCATTATTGGGAGCTTGTTGTATACTCAGATTTGCACCAAACCATACATCATTTTTGTTGTTGGAATGCTTGGTTGGTACTAAATTAATCTAGGATTGGATCACTGAAAGGTTGCGAAAAAATTATTGTGATACTTGCAAAGGACGAAAGATCACATGCTCACTTGCAAGAAATCTGATCAGCTTGAAGTGATTGGATATTCAGATTAAGACTGTTGGATTTGTTAATACAAGAAATTCCACATTTGGTTATTTGTTCCTATTAGTTAGAGAAGCAATTTCATGGAAGAGTGCGAAGCACTCTATCATTCTTTTGTCCACCATGGAGGCTGAGTTTATTGTGATAATAGCTGACAGCAACAAAACAGCAGTAAAACAGTAATGATATAGCAGTGAGTGAAACAATAGCATCAAGGCATGCAAAAGCACTATCCTTAAGATCAGAATTTTGCCCCTACTGGAAGAATCTTCGTGGTGCAAAAAGGCTCAACAGTGGACTAACCTCCAGGATACAATGACGAACCTCAGGTTTAGAATCGCATAAGGAAATATAATAGTGGTGACAGAGAGCTAGAAAGTTAATAAAAAACAAAGGAAACAAGGATTCTTTCAAGTGAAAAATTGTATATTTCAAATGAGAAACACACCCTTTTTTATACTAGAAAATTTGCCCGTTTTCCCTTAATTCATTCTTACAGTAACCAAAGCAATTCAATTGCTTTCAATAGCATAACAGTCCAAGAATTCAATTACTTTTAGTACATAACAGTCCAAAAAGCAATTAAAATTGGTATTTTGAAATACCAGAACTACCAGCTATTATCACAATCCCCCACATATTTCAAAATAACCAATCACCACTGATTATAGAACTTAATATTTATGAGTTGGTGTCTTTCGGACTATGAACCAATCATTGAGTAACTAAACGTGAATTACTTAAATTTGGTGAAACTAAGTTTTTATGAACCAAAAGTTTCTTTATGTAATTCAGAGGATTAGTTCCTTACACTAAATTCTCTATATTGTATACTGTTATGTGGTTTAGCACTTTATTGTCTTATGCTAGCCTGGATTTCATGAGTGCTCTAGAGATGTCTGCCTAAACTCTCATAGGAATTGACCCAATTCCACACTCACATAGGTGAACCTCCATAAGGTGTGAAGTGCAGTTTTTCACACCACTATTTATATTGGCTATGGATTTCATTAAGAGTAATTTTACTCAATCTTATTCACTACAATCAATATTATCTCGCCATAGGGAGGACTTTCTATAGATAAAATTTGATAATACTTATCAAGACAACAAGTGACTTGTTATTTCCCTTATCAGCCTACTTATTGGGATCTCCAATCACATAGGTAGGGTTACCATCACTCTTGCCTTATGCTTTAGGCATAAGTCTCATCCCCCTCGACGTGTATTCCACTAACATCCTACTTAGTGGTTTAGTCAGAGGATCGGCCAATTTTAACTCCGACTTCACAAAGTCAAGGCTCATACCTTAGATTCTAGCAGCTGCTTTATAATGGTATATCTTTCTGGATATGGCTGCTTTTCCCATTATAAATTTTGCTCTTTGCTCTTGCTATTACGGCCTGACAATCACAATGGATTGATACTGAACAGGAGGGTGAGTTTCAATGGGAAGATCTGCTAAGAGATTCCTTAACCACTCAGCCTCAGAACATGCCTTTTCTAAGGTGATAAGCTCAGACTCCATGGTAGACCGAGCTATGCAAGTTTGTTTGGAAGACTTCCATGGCACATCATCTCTATCAAGTGTAAAGATATAACCACTTCTGTATTTTATTTCATCTGAATCTGATATCCAATTGGCTTTAAAATATCCTTCTAATACAGGTGGTGTACTTCCAAACGTTAGCCCATAATCAATGGTGCCCTTCAAATATCTAGCAATCCTGTCTAATGCTATCCAGTGATTCTTATCAGGATTATGAGTATACCTATTCAATCTAGTGACAACATAAGCAATATCAGGCCTCGTACTATTCATTAAGTACATAAGGCTACCTATGATTTGGGCATATCTATTTTGACTCACTGTGTTGTGTATTTTTCTTAAGTTAAGTATTTTCATCATAACCAGTTGAGACAAGTTTACTGTCTGAATACCCAAATTTCCTTAAGAAATTTTCTACATTTGTGGCATGGTTGAGGCCACAATTCAAGGAAATTGGTTGCGGAACTTTATTTCGGGACTTGGAATTGTCGATAGTATTTCCAAACCACTAAAAATTTATTGTGATAATTCTACAACTATCTTCTTTGTGAAAAACGACAAGTATTTAAAGGGAGTTAAATATATGGAAGTGAAATACTTTGACATTAAAGAAGAAGTTCAGAAACAAAAAGTGTCAATTGAACATATTAGCACTAATCTCATGGTTGCGGATCTGTTAACTAAGGGATTGCCTCCAAAGGCATTTATTAGACATGTCGAAAGGATGGGCATTATTGAAAAATCTTAATGACTCTATGATATTTATGTATTTGACATTTTGATATCATTTATGTATTTTTTCTAATATCTATTGATATCTTGAATTCATGTTTTGTTGGTAAACACATTAATGTTTTAGTTATTTAGTCTAGGGTAAACGATCTTTTCCCACCCAAATAATGATCTAATGACACTTTCTCACCCAAAACGTTTCAAAATACAATTTTATTACCCAAACGTTATATTCCCTTAATGATTTCTATTAACTTCAGTAATATTTAGTGTGAAGACAAAAATACCCTTTATCATTTGGCTTAAATTATTTTTATTTTTATTTTTTGTCATTGTGAATTACTAATATACACTCTTTAAATATAAAATTATTAATATGCCCTCATATAATATAAATTAAGAATAAAATTCATTCTTCCCCTCTTTTATTTAAAAAAAACCCTAATTGTTTATTCTTTTCTTTTTCGTTTTCTTCCATCTCTTCTTCTCTTCTCTTTCTTCTTACTTTCTTCTCCCTTTCATTTACATTTTCTTCTTTTTTTCTTATATCAATTCTTCTCATTTTTTTTTTTTAAATTTTATTAATCATTTTCTTCTCAGTTTACTTACTCAAGAATAACATTTCCAGTAACATTTTATTTTTGTCAACAAAGAAAGCCTCCCTAAAAACAATTCTCATCATAATTCCCTTCTAAAACAAAAGTCTTCAATTTTCTCACCATCCAATCAAATCGGCAAGGGGAAGTTAGCTGGGTGGGGATTTTTAACGAATAGGTGGTGTGCAGGTTGGGCTGGGGAGTGGAGAGGTGACTGATAGGTTAATCCGGCCAGAACAAACACAAGAACACTCTAAATAAACAACCAAACAACACCCAAACTTCAATACAAACTCCAGACTAGTCCATAAAACAAGCCACAACAAGAAAATCCAAAAATACAGAACAACAATCACTTGAAATACAGAACAACTATCACAGCGCTGTAGGTGGTAATCGGCGAGCAGGGGTGGACGGTGTGTGAGTGGGTTTTGAAGAGCAAGTGAGGGGTGTGGTGTGACAGTGAGAAGTGAAGTGGGTGGGTTGGTGCTGCTATGCGGGAGATGTAGGGAGGGAAGGTGGTGGGGAAGTGGAGCGAGGAAATTGTAGGTGGGCGGAGCAGCGGAGGGGAGGTAGTGGGAGGCGTAGTGAAGAGATGAGAATTGAGGGAGGACTAGCCGTTTTGGCTTTGGTTCGGATCTGAGAAAGAAAACATTAAGGAAAGAAAGAAGGGTGAAAGAAAAAAAAAATAGGAAAGAAAGAGAAGAGAATGAGAGGAGAAGGATGAAAAAACCCGTGGCAACCATTCATCCCTACAGTTGCCTACACTTTGAATTTAAATTTTTTGATTTTTTCATGCAAAGTATTGACTAACCGTTCTGTCCTTTCTTTTAATGAATTTTTTACCATTTTACCCTCATCACAACTAAATTTACTAACGAAAATTTATTGTTGGTAGTAAAATTATATTTTGAACCATTTTGGATGGGAAAGTGTCATTAGTCCATTCTTTGGGTGGGAAAAAATCGTTTACTCTTTGGTCTATGATAAGAGACATTATAGTGGACCATTATTGAGCTTTTCACCAATAGATCATGTTAAGTAGAAAAACTAATATTGTGGTACATAGAAGGAATTATGTAAACCACTATGACTCTTATTAGTCTATACTTAATAATGATGTGTAATGTGCATTATGTTGTATTTATTCAACCAAAAATGATAATTTTGCCACATGGGCCAACTGGGAGAATGTGCCATAGTAAAGGATATTTATTTATGATTTAATAAATATCAGTAATTGGTCTAAAACATGAGATAATTAAAAGGAAAATTACAAATGTAGCCTTAAGAAACTGGTCCTCCCTCTGCCTATAAAAGAAACAGAACGCATTGCTCTCTATCATGTATTGAAGTGCTTTGTTGAATAGAAGAAGGCTGAAAATAGAGAAACACAGTTTCATATTATTTTCAAAACCATCATTGAGTTTCGGGCTGGAAGAAGAAAAGCTATGGTGAACTGAAGGTACGCCTTCTTATTATTTTATACGAAATCATAATTGTGAAATCCAAGAAGTTTTAAGGCCCATGACTGTTATTCAATGTGACTTATTTGAGTTATTTTATATATATTGTTATACATGAGAAAGTAGGGATAACACCGAGCCTTGTTAGCATGGGTGGTTGGAGATTAAGAAGGTTCTACAACCACTCAGATGTAGCCATGTCGCATGATGACATGAGAAACATGCTCTGCCAGTGCAGTGGGTATGCACCAGGTTGGCGAAAGGCTAGAAAAGGTCCACGTGTCCAATCCTTGCACGAGTCGAGGAAATCACTCGAGCAGGTGAGTAATGGGACGCAAAGAAGGATTTGCACGACATTTGCCCCCCTCACAGATTTAGTGATCATTACCTTAATTCATCCTACTATAAATAGAAGACTCCTCTCTCATTTGTGGGATTAGCTAATTTTTCTCTAAAATAGTATACTCTCTCTCTCTCTCTCTCTCTCTCTCTCTCTCTCTCCCCCTATTGTATTTCTTAAGCTATAGATCGCTCATTGAATGCGACCTGACTTCACTCATTAATACAATACTAGTGGACGTAGGATTTGGCTTTTGAGCATCCGAACCACTTTAAATATTGTTCTTCATCCCTTACTCAATCAAACCCCCCCATAACCATGTGTGACTTCTGAGTCCGCTCAGCATTTCTCACGTGCGAATAGTTGGTGTCAAAATCACGCATCAACAGTTTGGCGCTAGAAGGAGGGCGGCTTGATTTAGTACTTGTTCTTCATCAGGAGAATCTCTGACTAATCGATCTCACTACAACAAATGGCTCGCGGATTTGAATCTGAGCGAACCAATCATAGTGATGAAGAGATCCCCCAGGTACAAGAGGACACTTCTCCCGAGGTGCCCTCAGCCCCACAAAATATCGTGGGGGATATCCCTTCAAGCTCACAGCTTGACCCAGCCATCATGAGCTACCTGGAGAGGTTCAACAGTACTCTCCAAATGGTCAAGCAAAGGTTGGACCGATTGGATCGGGTCATACCACCTGAATCAAATGAGGCGGTGCCATCGTCAAAAATGCCTGCAGGTCGCATGAAAGCGCCGAAAAAGGCAAAAGCCCATAACACATGCATTGCAGCGCATTAAAGAAAGGGAAAACAAGTGGCACACAGCGGACCTAGAGGCTCCGAGGGACCATCGAACACCGATCGTACCTCAGGTAGAATACCCGTGGCATTGAGACTCGGTGACATGTTGTGGCCTGAGCCGTCTAGTGCCACGTCGCACGAGTGCTCCCACAAAAGTGCAAGGCGGGGAGATTCCCATTATCGCCAAAATGACGACTTTGATCGTCGTCGCACGGGAAGTTCCCACCATCCGTGGGTTGGTTCGCACCACCGCGGAGGTTAGGAAGGTCCCCCGAACCATTCAGCGCCATCACACGACTCTAACCAGTGTGTGTCGAGATTGGTCGGGACCGCCGGCTGAGGTGAGGAGAATCCGATCTACAGTCTTTCCTCAATCGCAACCGTGAGGGTCGAACCTACATCGCGAAAAGCAATCCCCAGATGGCTCCGCTGCCTCAGATTGAGGAACTACAGCGAGCCCTAGATCAGTTAAAGGCTCAGCAAGCAAGGGCAGGTCACAGAGGCGTCTCCCTTTTCTCTGACAGTGTTAGTCGCCCTTCTCCCGTCAAGATTCAGAATGCCCGACATGCTAGCATTCGATGGGAATTTCGATCCGCAAGATCATCTGTACGAGTTCAACGACCTCATGGAACTTGATGCGTGTTTCTTACAACATGCAAAACTAGCAAGTGCACTAGTCGCTCAAGTAATAAAGTGATGGGTAGGATATCGTTCCCACGAGGACTGTTAGCAAAGCACTAAGTTTCCTAACGTTATCAAGTTGAAGCAATCGATTGGATTGGTGGGAGCAAATTGTAATGAAAAACAAGAATGAAATTAAACAAAGAATTAAACCTTAATTAAGAAAGCAAGATGAAACACTGAATATCACTTTAAACAAAGCGGGCAAGGTTTTGACTTCGTTTGGATTTTTATGGGTTAAACCTAAAATTACACTATATTCACATTCATGCGCAATGATTGTAAATCGAATTCACTAATATGTTAAACATACCCTCTCGGGCTATGTTTTCCTATTCATCCTTATTAACACTCCGCACCCAACAAATTGAAGGTTAATAATTCTGAATTCATTAAGCATAAGAATCCTAAATTGATTTCATTAATTCTTGAATCTATCTCTAGCATCCAATACTATAATGGTGATTATCCAAGATGCCTAACATGAATTTTTTTTCAATCTCATCATGTTCATCACATACAGCATTTAATTTCAGTTTAACACACAACCAAAGCTTATTCACATGGAAATAACACAATCAAAATACTTAACCCATTTAAAATCCAAACTACAATCAAAACCCTAACCCATAAAAGATTAGTTCATAGCTAAATTAA